TAAATAAGCCCTAAGTTCACATCAGACAGCTTTAAGGTATCTCTCCTTTTCCACTTTTCTCCTTTCTCTACTTCTGAACCCAAGAAAAAGTCTTGTTTTTTGTTTGTTTTATTCTTCACAATGTGTAGAAATAGACAGGGAAACAAGGTGAGAAAGCCGTCACTTGGACTAAAAGTGCTCCTCACCAAGTCAAGATAGTTTGTATACTGTTGTTGATCACTAAAATAATGACTTCTACTTTCTAGCCTTAGAAAACAGAGATCTTTATTTTTAATATGAAGCACCTAGTGCTATACAATAGTTTTAACTCATTCCAAAAATTATTTTTCTGAGCTATATAAAGGTACAAAATTAAGCATACTTCATTATTGAAAGGTGTTAAACAATCTTAAAAAGCCCTACCATATGCTGTAATATAATGCCCTCTATAGACTAAATTAAAGCACTTCAACATTAACTTCTAAATTGAATCTTAAGAAATAAAGACTTTAATCTAGAAAATGAATGGTAATACTTAAAATGATAAAAAAAAAGTATTTTAAAAATCTCTAAATAATTTCACATAACTTGCTAAAAATGAATGCTAAAGTCCAGAGAAACTGAAAATACTATCTTCAATGAGAACTAAATAAATACTGACTTCTTACCATCTAAAATTAACAGACAAAAATTCCTAAAGATTGAAAATATTATTAAATTTGGAATTCAAAAATTAATAGCCAATAGGCTGTAAGTGGATCTTTTAAAACTTAAGTCTCCATCCAAAGTATGCAACTTTGGAGGAATCTTTAAGGTCGTTCCATGATGTCTATAACAGCATGATTCAAGCATTTGCTTGAGTCAGTGTATGTAAAAATTGTTTATAAAATCTTTTTCTTTAAATCATTTGTTAGCACAAGTTAGATATACATAGTTCTCTATATTTCTTTGTCCTAATGGATTTATTCCTTATGGTTAAATACAGAGCATTCCATAGACCTAGGTTTTTTTTTTTTTTTTTTTAATCTACAACACTAGAAGCCACCAACCCCCACACTCTACATCTAAAATTAACAGACAAAAATTCCTAAAGATTGAAAATATTATTAAATTTGGAATTCAAAAATTAATAGCCAATAGGCTGTAAGTGGATCTTTTAAAACTTAAGTCTCCATCCAAAGTATGCAACTTTGGAGGAATCTTTAAGGTCGTTCCATGATGTCTATAACAGCATGATTCAAGCATTTGCTTGAGTCAGTGTATGTAAAAATTGTTTATAAAATCTTTTTCTTTAAATCATTTGTTAGCACAAGTTAGATATACATAGTTCTCTATATTTCTTTGTCCTAATGGATTTATTCCTTATGGTTAAATACAGAGCATTCCATAGACCTAGGTTTTTTTTTTTTTTTTTTAAGCTACAACACTAGATGGCACCAACACCCACAGTCTATGTTTGACTGCCCAATCCATGGCAGGCAATTTGGCAAAGACTGTGCTCAATTTTCTGGCTCTTCTACGGGACTGTTGCCTGGAACTAGGAAACTAGATCAGAAAATGCAATAGCTCTTAGCAGATCAGCAAGATATAATCTACATCTGATTATGAACTGAAAATATTCTGTGCATTAGTGACAAAGCCAAGCAACCAACCAACACATAACACAATCATTAAGTCTAGATCTCAGTAGTCTGAATGGAAGATATCAGCACCTTCCTTTACCACCGGCCTACCAACAACCTAAAGAAAGCCTTTGTCCATTATAATACTGTTATTCAGTATCCACATAGCAACAGAATGTTATCCAAGTTAATATCCTTACATGTGGGAAAAATGCATGAAAAAATGAGGTTTTGTATGGTTGACAAAATTCTTAACTTCTTAAAAATGCCTTGCATTATTTAATGGGCAACCACAATAGGAATGTGACAAAAGTAGCACCCTGGTTGAAAAGAAACTAAGTGCGGAGAAACAAAATCACTACTCTACTAAAGACTCTGTCCTTAGCTCCTAATTGTCTTTTCCACCCCAAATCTAACATCATCCTGGCTGATTTCAATGTCATGTGGAAGTGCAATCAACATCTTGGCCTCATAGTGTACTTCACCCAAACCTTTACCTAGACTCCACTGTAGGTTCTTCCCCATGGCCAAACACCCAGGCCATGGCCAAATACCCATTATAATCAACCCAAATTTAATTCTTCGGAATCCTAAATTGAACATCAATACAAACATTCATCAAACACACATGATATCATACATAATCCTACTTTAATCACTACTTCTGTCATTCAGGAATTTATATTTTTATTTCTACTTACTCTTTGGCTATTACATCTATTTTGGACCTTAAGTTCACTGACCTCCTCTCAGCTATCTACTTTCTCTTCTCATCACACCTTCCAACCTATATGCCACAGTTACACTTCAAATTACTCTTTCACTAGTATCCTCAACTCTCTTGATTCTCTGCCCTTCCACTGGCTCTCCTAGCACAATACAAACATAAAGCAATACAACCATTTGCTTTCTCTGAATCCATACCTAGGGCTGTACAGCAGTTAAAGAAGTCACCTTCCTATACAGACCACTGCTCAATCTTGACTGGGCTTTTAATTCAATGTCTTTGTTTCCCTAGTGAGAAGATTTTTCAGAGCTCTTTTACCCAAGCATATTCCAGTTCATTATCAGCAAATGACCTAACACACTACTTTAAAAAGTAAACATAAACCAAGACCATAAGATGGTATAATGGTTATGTCACTGGGTTCCCATGTAGTCAACTGTGGTTCAAATCCTGGAACAAGTGACTTAAAACTCATGCCAGACATGTGTGTGCATGTGCCCCAAATCCCAAAGAATGGAAGAGAAAAGATTATGGTGTGGCCACCCATGGGAGAGGGGACGGCTGATTTCTCGCTTTCTGTCTCTCTAGTTGAGCATATGTGCCCTATAGCAAAAAAATCTCCCTCTGAAAAAAAAAAAATAGAAAGAAAATAAAAAGAAACATAAATGAAAAAAATTCCCTCAACTTCCAGTCACAAAAGCCTAGCAGTATCAACACCAATACATTCCTTTCCATTCACTATAATCAAAGCAGTATCCTTCCTCTTCTCTAAAGTTCGGACCTTATTCCATTCCTTCAGACTCTTTACCAGTCCCTGTAATCCAAATTTCCCTCCCATCTTAAAAATAAATAAATAAATGTTGGTCCCCACCCCAATACATACTCCCTTCCTGCTTGCTCCAAGTTTTCAACCTTCTCAAGAGTAGTCAACATTTAGTATACATTTGTTCATGTCCCAGTCACACCATTTGCCACTGTCACGCAAACACATTCCTCTTCCTTCTGACAAACTTTCAACCCTTATCTTAAATGACCTCTCTAGTATTTAATAATATTGCCTATTTCTTCTACTCTTGAATTTTTAAAATTTTATTTAAGAATTATTTATTTAATTTTATTCATCATTATTATTCTTCAATGTGACCAAAAACAGAGAAAGAGAGGGCGAGTGAGAGAAAGCAAGCTGCCAAGTCTGAGATTCAAAACACAGTCAGCCTTGTGGGAGTAGTTCAGTACCCCAACCACCACACCGCCTGCTGGCCCCTCTACTCTATAAATCTTTCTCTTCCCTAGCTTCTCTTTAGGTGATATATGTGGCCTTAATTGTATCTCAATTATATTTGTATATGACAAATATACAAACACAACTAAGATCTCCCTCAAGAGCTTTATGATATCACAACTTCCTGAATATCTCATAGGTATTTCAATACCAAAATATTCAAAACTAAATCTTTCATCTTCTCCTATCTCCCAGACCCACTTTATTCACTAGTGTTCCCTATTTTAGTTTCTCATACTGCCCTCTATGTATCTGTATATGCTAGGAATCCAGGTTTCCTGCATTCTTCTTTAATTCTTTCTTATCCTTAATGACAATATGCAATCAAATATCAAGTTCTGTCTCAATGTTCCCTCCACTGCCTGAAATATTCATAAACTCCCCTTTCTTAAATCACAGCAACAACCTCTATATTGGTATCTATACCACTAGTGCTACCTATTTCCAATTAATAAGTACATTCAGTAAACATACTGTAATCACTACAGATTACTATAGAAAACACAGCTAAATAAAAGCACACATGTAAGTCACTATGCAAATCAAGTGTGTAGGAAATGTAGAGTCAAAAGAAAACAATGAGATTACTACTTTTCAAAATTCATAATAGAGGGACCAGCAGATGGCATAATGGCTATGTCGCTGGACTCCCATGTAGTTGACGATGGTTCAAGTCCCGAACCCGGTGGACACATGTGCGTGCATGCCCAAGATCTCAAGAGAATGGAACAGAAGGGATTGCGTCATGACCATCCCCCCAGGGGATTATTTCTCACTTTCTGTCTCTTAGTCTCTCTCTCTCTTTCTGGCAAGCACACGTGCCCTATAGCAAAAACCTCTCAAAAAAAAAAAAGTAATAGACACCTCAATTTATATTTTTTAACAAGATAACTACACTTTCAATATACTTAACATTATACTTGTCACTGAAAACACACTGTACTATACTGAAATATTAAATATGCCATAGAAATGTTCTTTCTTTAAAAATTAAATGTAAAATCATTTCTGGAACAACAAAAATAAACACAATGGAAAATATTTTACTATCTCTTGGTTTTCATGCTATCAAGAAAGATCAAAGAAAAACATAAATATAGTAAAGTCAATTCCAAATTTTAAAAATATCATCTATTTCCAAGGGGCAATATAAAAGTAATAAATAACTGTGTAGAAAAGTTAAGAGATAAGGGTTGGTGCTGAGTGCAAAAGAGGTTAAAAAAAAAAAGGCACTAAAACCTTTAAATAGCAGTTGGAAAAGAATTTTTTTTATCTATGTGGATATATTAGACACTATAAACATAAAAAAACAACACAATGTATAGTGGAATGTTTCACAGCATTGTCAAAAAGTGGCATGACAGCACAAAACAGTGTATGGATTGATTACCTGAAGTTTTACACAGCTCTGCTGAAAATATAGCAGATGGTGATCTGTCCTCTTTTTCTGTATCAGAAGGAAGTTTTTTCTCAGCTTCTTTCCCAAGAGCTTTGGGTTTAACTATGCTGCCTATCTCTGTTTGAGTCGCCAAAGCAGAAATGTCTGGAGGCAGTAAGGGCACCTTTGATACCTCAGACCTATCTTTGGAAAATTCATCTGAGGCACAGATTTTATCTTCCACTTTAGAGTGTATGTTCTTGAAAGAAAGGTCATGGGGCAATTCTGAGCAAGGCAATGATCCAGCTCCAACCTGGACATTAGCAATTTCATTTCTGTGGGATACTTCCAGGTCAGTGTATTCATTGGCCAATTTAGTAAAAGAATCCATTTTAGAAGGGACGAATGTAGGGTACTCATCTATAATCTCAATTGGAGATGAATCTGAAAACGTTTCACTTTCTCTGATTTTTGCTTCCTTAGAAACAAGTAAGTCATTTGAACAAACTGCAGTATTCAGCTCCTCCATCTGCAAGGGAATTTTCTCCTTTTCAGTCAAGGTTAAAACTTCATCAGGTAGGGTATCTTTTGTGGTATCTAAATTGGGCTTAAAAGATTCCAAATATGGCTTCCCTCCCTCAGGTAGCAAAGCACTGTGTTTTTCTTTATTTTCGTGTTCTATCATTGACTCAGGTAAAGTTTCAGTACGACTTTCTTTCCCAAGCATCACATCTTCATCTTGTTTTTGTGGAACTTCAGGTATTGAATCATCACTAAATAAGTCAACTGGTTCAGAATCAGGTGAGGAGTCTTCAACCAGCTCAGAATGATCAAGCACTGGCTGTCCGACTTTTGCTATTTCAGAGTAATTAGAGAAAGTTGGGTCAGCAGAGAGTTTTGTTTCCTTAATTAAATCACATGCGATAGATATATAAGGGGCTTCAGTTTCTTGAACAGCTACCTTAATACTTTCAGGTTCTTTAATTTCTTCTTTTATTCCTGCTACTTTTTGTAGAGATATATTCATGGCCTCTTCATATGGTGGGGGATTTTCAGGCTCAAGTTTTACGCTTTCATAATTAACTGAAGGAGGAGCTTCTAATGGTGAACTGGGCTGCACTGCAGGACCACCAGCACCAGGAGCTACCGAATTTAATGGTGCTTCCATAACAATGTCAGGTAAAACCGGTGAAGGAGTAGCTTCAGATTCTTCAAATGATGGGCAAAGCTGTGCCACAGGGTAGAGTGACTCCTGAACAGCTTCTGATGTTTTGACCAAGTCTATTTTTGTTTCATAAGCAATCTTTGTACCTGTTGCTTCATTAAATTCACTTTCACATGCTTCCTGTACTAAATCTGGGGTTAGACCTTCGGGCATATTTGCTAGTACTTCTTCAGTCACCTTTGATAAATTATCAGTTGTGACATAATCTGTCTCAGAATCCTGTGTTGCTACAAGGAAAGGGTTGGCTGTTTTGGTGATAGTATTCTTCTCTGTTATAATCTGGGCCTTCTTTTCTTCTATTTTTTTTTCATCTGTCTTATTTTCTGAAGTATGATCTTCTAACAAAGGAAACATGTTTGTTGCAGTGCTCTCAGTTGCTGTAGGGCTAAAGGGAGCACATGTGATATATGCTCCTGAACCATCTTTTATAGCTTCTGGTGTACTGGGAAAAGAAATGTCATCGTTACTGCTTTCACTATCCTTTTCATGATTTGTTTGCTCAAGGCCATCTGCAAAGCACTTCTTATCCACTCTACTTTCTAACCTGCTCTCTATATTACCTCCGTCAGTCAACCTATCACTATTTTTTGTATAAGTATCTTTTACTTCCCATACTCGCTCAAATGGTTTGAAGTCTGCATATTCCTCCCTTACAGGAGCTTCTACTGTAACTCCCTTTTCATTAAAACTGTCCTTTGTCTTTTCTGGAGATGTAACTTTATCCTCTTCTTTAACCAATTTAGTTAGAGCTATAGGTAACTCTTGTTGATTAGGAAGGATGTTATTACTAACTAAATCCTCTTCATCTTTACTCTTCACAAGTATTTCTTCCCTAGGGTTTGCTATTGTTATGGCAGATTCTGCTTTTGGAGAACCACTGGATGACGATCCCATTTCTGAGTATTCTAATTCTGAAAACTCTGTTAAATCTCTATCTATAAAGGGATTTTTTGCCTTCTCTGAAAACTCTTTAGAAGCTTCATTTAAAGTTTCTTGATGTGTTCCTTCGGTGGGTAACACTGCTGGTAAATTACCAAGGTATTCATGTTCTTTAAAAGGAGCAGCTGAGAGAGGAGATAAAGAAGGAAGAGAAGCAGCAGTTTCAAGCAGGACAGATGGGAAATCCTCTTGACCAGCCGAAATAGTGTTACCTGGCTGCTCCTTCAAGTCCATAATTTTTTCTGTGACCATGGACAGAAAGGAAAGTTAGAGAATGCCTGTGTTCTCAGAGTTAATGCAAGTTTTATGACAGGTTCTAAATAATGTTAGTATAGACTTACTGTTAACTAAATTGAAATGTTAATAATTTAATAAATAATCAAGTAGACTTGAATCATTACTGAAAATATTAGGTTTTTGTCAATAAAACATATGCATGGTTACGGAGGCAATTACATGCTATGTAAAGACATAAATCAAGTCTTTGGGGGAATCCTCAAGTGTTATCAACTTAGAAATGCTACTTTTAACTAGTTTCAGAGGAGGAGGAGGTGATTTGAAAAGAGTTTGACAGTACAGAAAAGAAGGGACAATGGATAATTAAATGCCATAGACTAACACTCACATAAAAGCCTTTGGGCAATATGCAAGTAAACTATATTTGGAGAAAAGGAATTGTCAATATGTCAATGTAAATAAATCAAGGGTTCAACAGTTCCTTACAAATTTCCAGGTATTAATCAGTTTTGCCCATCTCTCCCTTGGACATAGCATATAAAATCCAAGTTTCAATGTTTTCAGTAGACAAACATTCTTGGAACCATGCTAATTTTTAGTAAATCTAAACTAATCCAATCTATATAGAGTCAACACAACTAAAGAGTTAAAGTTAGAATATACAGAGGATAAAAGGATGGCAGAAAGAACTTGCCTGCAGAGGAGTGTATCACAGGCTCAGATGCAGCAGGAAGAGCAAAAAGGGTCTCATCTGAAAAACAAATAGAATATAACCTCAGCGGAAATAAAGACAGGTTGGAAGGAGACTAAAGATAAAAGGAGGCAGCAAGAGTTCAGTTTGTAATGAGTTCAGTCTGTAATGAGTTAACAACTTTACCTGCAAAGAAAAAGGCCAAGGTGAAAAGGAAGTTAGAAAAAGTAGTGCACCATTAATTCAGACTAAATCATCTATATTATAAAGTTGATTAAATGTTCTCATAGAACCTATCATTCTTCAAGTAATTCACTCAAGTATACACAACTAGTAAGTGACTCGGGCAATTCAACTCCAGAGCCTGTTTCCTTAATCACTGTACGTTACAGACTTAATTTTTATGTCCCCTCCAAAATTTCTACATTGAAGTTCTAATTCCCAATGTGATGCTATTTGGAGATGGGGCCTTTGGAAGGTTATTAGGGTTAGATATGACAGTGACAGCAGTCCTGGTCCAATAGGATTAGTAGTGTATTCAGAGCTTGCTTGCTTTTTCTCTCTCTTTCCTCTAGGCTAGCATACACAAAAGGTCATGCAAGGCCCCAGGCAATCTTGATTCCTGGCCCACCCTGAACACCACAGGGAGCAATGGCACACACCTGGGGTCCTAGCTTAATGGGAGGCTGGATCACAATGCTGAGACCCTGTCAAAACACTTTTCTTCCCCTCTCTCTCCCTCCCCCAATTGTCTCCCTATCATATAAATAAATAAAGAGAAGTCATTTGAACACATAGGAAATGGTAGCTACCTACAAGCCTAAAAAAGGACTCAGAGCCAGCTGGTAGCATGGTGGTTAAGGTGACTAGATCCCACATAGGACGTACTAGTTCAAGTCCCAGACCCAGGTGCTTCAAGCCAGGAACATGTGAGGTTATGCGTGCCCAAAGTCACCCGCCTCCAGTCTACCCAGCTAGTTAGTGCTCATGTCCTATAGCACTTTTTTTTTTAATAATTTATTTAACATTATTTACTTATTTTAATTTGACCAGGGAAGGACAGAGAGAGAGAGGAAAAGCGAGAAAGCAAGCCGCCAGGTCCAGGACTCAAGCCACAGCTGGCCATGTGGGAGTCCAACGCCCTTAACCACCACGCCACCTGCTGGCCCCACTTTCTTTAATTTAAAAAAAAAAGCCTCAAAATGAAACCTGCCTTGTTATTTTGTTATGGCAGCCTAAGTTAATACACTATGTTATCTTTGTGCAATGTCATCTGTACCTACAGTGGTAGATCCTGAACAGTGGTAGAACCACGAGAAGGACCAGTTAGAAAAGGTTCAACACAGATAAAAAATCAAAGAGATAAAGCTATCATGGATATAGACTTGTCTTCCAAGTTCATTTCCTTTTGAAGTATAGGAGAACTAACTTCGCAATGTCACATACATTTACAATAAACCTATACCAGTACATCATACTTTAAAAATTCTTAGACCTCCTTTCCCAAGTTATTTCCATCATAATAGGATGGTTTGGCTTGTACACTTGGTTAAAAAGATTCAAGACTGTGTAAGCTGGCTTGGACAAATTTATTTTTAATTTATTAATTACTTAGAATAAATGCATTAATCTCAAAAAATTCTTAGAAGGGATACTGAGGGGAAATTCTTAGAAACGATGTGTTTCTAAAAGGGTCTCCTATAATCTAGAACATAGGTGGGAATAGGTCATTCATTCATCCAAACCAGTTAAAACAATAATGCTTTATGAGATTTTATTAAATATATACACACGTATACATTTTTAAAAGGTGATTTGCTATGTGATCTTAGATAAGTAGCATAGTTTCTCATTTGTAAAATGAGGGGGAAAGCTTTTCAGTTAAAACAATGTATTACAGGGAACCAGCAGTTAGCGTAATGGCTATGTCGCTGGACTCCCACGTAGTCAACCGCGGTTCGTGTCCTGGACCCAGTGGCTTAAAACTCACGCCAGGCGCGTGTGCGTGCGTGCCCAAGATCCCGAGAGGAGAATGGAGGAGAAGGGATTGCGGCGTGACCATCCCTCCTGGGGGGTGATTTCTCACTTTCTGTCTCTATGTCTCTCTCTGTCTGTCTGGCGAGCGCACACGCCCTGTAGCGAAAATCTCTCAAAAAAAAAAAAAAATGAATTACAAACTTGTATAAAACTGAGATTTGAGGGTCAAAGAGCAGAACCAAATAAGTACATAGCTGCTCTATATTAATAAAAGGAACCAATCTTTATGAAATAGTTCCATTTTTTCACTGAGACACGATAGTTAGAAGCCACTAAAACAGAGGTCAATCTACTTGAAAAATAAATTAGGAACGTATGTTAGTTACTGTTAAAATTAGAGGGAAAGCAAACTACACCTAAAATTGTGCCCAAAATTTAAATCATTTTTAAAAATGTATTCTTATTCTTTTTAGTACTAGAATCTCTCTTAGAGCAAAAATTGTATTTTTGACATTTGGCCAAGTAAAAAAATGTTTTCAAAATAGTATTTCAAATATTTATTAAATTAAAAAAAAAAAAAAGGGAAGAAAGACCCTTCATTTTTTTTTGGAGAGGTTTTTGCTATAGGGCACGTGGGCTCGCCAGAAAGACAGAGAGAGAGACAGAAAGAAAGCGAGAAATCACCCCCCGGAGGGATGGGCACGCCGCAATCCCTTCTCTTCCATTCTCCTCTCGGGACCTTGGGCACGCACACACACCCGCCTGGCTTGAGTCTAAGCCACCGGGTCCGGGACTCAAACTGAGGTCAGCTACATGGGAGTCCAGCGACCCAGCCATTATGCTAACTACTGGTCCCAAGAACTTTCATTTTCTAAAATGATATTCCATTCTGAGCTAACCACAAAACAAGTATTGCGTTTCCAAAAGCTATTCTTAAAAAATCCAGAATAGGTCATTTAGGTCTTCAAGAAGAAAGATCCTCAGCCTCTTCCTAAATGGATCATGGAATTGAAATACCTGGATTCAAAGCCCAGTCCATCACTTAACAACTGTGCAACCCTGAGGAAGTTCTTGCTTAGCCTTTCTGTGTGTAATTTGTAAAATAAAGATATTAACAGTATCTACCTCAAAATGCTGTGACAGAAAGAGCAGAAAAGAAGGATACAAAAATTTGTTCCCTAAGTTAGAGAGCAAGGAGGTCAGTGGGCCAGGATTCAAACCAGTCTAACTCCCAAGTGCTCATGCTTTTTCTTCTGAGAGATTCACAAGTCCAACAAGCATAAATGTCTCTTACTTTATCAGCCCCTCGAGTCTGTTCTCCTAAAACGAGATAAACTATTACCCTACAAATACCATGTAATAATCAGGAACACCGAACTCACTGCTTCACAGTATAACAACATTTACAGATGCTAACATGGCCCAGGCAGTGGGCTGGCCATACCTGTTTCAGATGCTCATCCGAGCCTCAAAAGCACTCTACAAGGTGTTTTGGTTCTTATTGTTACTATTATTATCCCCATTTCACAGATGAGAAATAGGCATAAAAAAGCTAAGTAACTTCCCCAGTCAAACTGAAAATGATGGATCTGAGATCTGAATCCAGGTGATTTAAATGTCCATGTTCTTTTTTTTTTTTTTTTTTCACTTTAAAGTTTTGCCCAAGGGCACGTGCGCTGGGAGGGACAGGGAGTGCGAAAGTAACCCCCACAGGAATGGTCACATTGCAATTCCTTCTCCTCCATCTCTCCCTCCATTCAGGATTTTGAGCGCACACACAGGTCTCTCTGTTTCTCAAGCCTCAGGTCCTTGAACCGCACAGTCAGCCATGAAGGGCCCAGCTACCTTAACCACTGCACCACAGCCTGGCCCCATGCTCTTTTCTTTAATCACTGTGTCATTCTTCCTTTCCTGAACTTTATTATATGAATTTAGATTTCAAAATGGCTAATCAATAAAATTAAGGATGTTAAAAGAAAAATCTGATCAACAATACTTATGAATAAGCTGCCAAATTCTAAGGCTAAAAACATCTATTTCTGGTTTAGGGGAAAAAAATAATGTTTTGGATTAGCCTTTTCTTTTCCTGTAAAGATTCTGACTATCCCAAATGAATAAGAAATTTTATAGTCAGGGATACTATATTAAGTTAAAAATACAACACTCTGAGTTACATTACACATATACTGTCACGGTATTAGGTTTACCAAAAATAAATAGAAGGGCAACAGCTCCCCCTCTTTCTATGATCTACTCATGACAAATTCTTTTTTTTTCTTCTCTAGATTTTTGCCTTAGGGAGCATCTGCTTGCCAGAGAGAAAGAAACCAAGACAGTGAGTGGGAAAGTGAGAAATCATCCAACGGGAGGGATGGCCACACTGCAATGCCTTCTCCTCCATGCTCCTCCCAGGATCTTGGGCTCCCACGCACATGCAATCAGCATGAGTTTCAAGCCACCAGGTTGGGGACTCAATCACAGTTAGCCATGTTGGAGTTCAGCAACATAACCACTACGCCACCTGCTGGCACCTAATCATGCCAAATTCTAACTACTGAATGAAATATAAACTTTTAATTTGAACTTCATTATATGATATTGTGAACAGACAGTTTAAAAATTAATTAAATATTAAAGAGTTAATTAGATCCACACTAACTAAAATACATAGTGCCCTACTTTTTAAAAAAACACATACAAGTTTTCATTAATTAAAAGAGGAAGCCAAAACTTTGCCATTAATTTTTCCTTTCTCTCACCGTCAAAGTAATATTCCTAAGTAAAAGCATCTATATAGTCTCCTGCTCAAAAACATTTAACAGCTATTAACTATTCATGTAAATATTCCTAAAACCTTCAGCCCTATAAATAAGGTCCTCCCCCCAGACACCAACTTTCTCAACAACTCTTGGCATGTCATCTATGTTGACCAAACACTTCTTTCTAAGCATACCCACGCATATCAGAATGTTCACATCCATTAAATCTCCAATTCACCAGAATCGACTTTTGTAAAACATACTCATTTTTGTTAATCTGCTACCACATTTTCAGTGAAATAAGCTCAGCGAATTAAGCAATTTATTTCAAAGTCATG